AACACTCTCTAACAATCGGCTAGTCTTGTCTTGTGTTGTTTTCAATGGCGGATGACAAGGCTGACCTATAATCGACGATTGCTGTGTAGGATTGACCTAAATCTTCAAACAAGTGGACAAAAAAATCAGCTACCTAGCCAGCAGTGGCATGAATCAACCTACCTTCCATTACACCAATCAACTTATGCCCGCCACTTGGAGTACAACTGCTGCGTTTGTGGAAACCCAATTAGCCCGGCCAGGACGTTGGCAGCCCACTCAGATAAACCTTCCATCTGTTCAAGTCTACTGAGAGCCATGCATGTAAGTGGTACACCACTAGGCATAGTGTGCTGTCCAGTTGAGACAGCAGATCCCGAATGTCCGGAAGCACTATTGGTGTTTGGACTAACATTTCCAACAGTAGTGGAAACCAGGCCTTGGTTGGCCAATTGGGCACCACCCGCGTCAAGATGCAAGTGTGCTCCTGTAGAAGTTTCACCAGTACCCGGTGAATCAGTGGGAAGGGAGGAAAGGCTTACGCGTCCATGTTGGTCCATGGGATAAATAGTGCGTCCGAGGCTCATGCTCCAGGGGTCGGCAGGAGTGTCAGGTATGTCGGAAGCTTGGCGTTCCGGGTGTGGCGAACAGGTCTATGTTGGGCCCGTCTCACAGCCGAAACAGTCTGGAGGCTACCCATTGGGGTACTTGCCACTCTGTGTTCTGGAAACAGAGTCGCTGTGAGAAGGCGTTCGCTTGACTGCACCCCTGGAAGATGGTGTGCAGTTGGCTTCACATTGTATTCCAGGCACCAATAAAGATTTTGCTCTACCAGATCCGACAATAATGGTGATTTTGTCCTTCCCCTCCTTGTTGATGTAGGAGACCACTGTTGTGTTGTCTATGCGGAGCATGACTCTGTGGCCCCGAACTATGGGAAGAAAGTGTGTCAGTGCCAAGTGCAGCACTTTCAGTTCTAGCCAGTTGATATGGTGGTCCTAAATCCAATGCAGGGGCCATATTCCTTAAGCCTGAGGTTGCCATTTGCCATCAACCAGGGCAAGGCATTCTTTGCTTGTCGGCTAACAACCCCTTGTTTTGGTTGTGTAGCAGCAGTACAGATTGACGTGTACCGACGACTGATGCAGCAGCTGCACCACCTGTTTCAACACTCTGCTGAACACGTATGGAACCATGAATAGCCCGACAAGAAGCACCTTGAATTTGAATACCTGGCCCACTGCCGGGCCCACCACTCGACTTCACAGCACTCGACTGGCAGTCGAACGGGAGGACTTTCCATCCATACTAACCCTCCTCTCACTCATGCCTGTCGCACCACCTGGCCCGGTCGCGCAATTAGCCCTAGCTCTGGCGATGTGATCAGCCTCAGCCGCCTGCATGCGACTTTGGAAACAGTCCCAACTCGCACACAAGCTAAACCCAGCACGCATTAGAGGCAAAGATGGCATTTTGAGGGCGGGTTCCACGCCGGCAGATCTTGATGACAAATTCCGCAAGTCCGTGCTGATCTTATCGGTTGACAAAACGGGAGGAGAGCTGTTCGAGTGTTTTTCCTTTCTCTTGTCCAAGAAATGAACAAGGCATGCATGAGTGGAGCAAAATTACAGTTGAAAACGAGACAATGAAGACCTACAAAAGCGGCTAAAATGCGTCACCTGAGTTTTTTGTATATGGTACAAAGGACACTGGGCCCGAAAGAAAGAGACAATTTTATCCTACCCGAAACCACGTCCTACTGTTCCAAAGAAAGGTTACAGGAGTACCTCAGAAACTTGAGACTAAACTGATGACTGAACCACTTCTGTTTTGCTACTGTGCACTCTCGTGCGGAGAAAACAAAAGAGTGAAGACAAGGCAAGATGGCACCGACCTCTAGGCCTTCCCCTGACCTAGATTTCTCTCCCCGTCATTGGCTGAATCGCAGATTAATGCCTACAGTTCAAAATAGTCATTTTGACTGACAGGAGACTATGGTGGGTAATTGAACGTAGTAAATTCAATACTGTGTTCCAAGGGTGTGTATGTGGTGTATTCCGCAGCCTGTGATGGTAATGGAACAGAAATGATTTCTAGGGTTGTCGATGACGGACCAATTATGTTATGAATAAATTTACTGGCTTCTTCGTGGCTTTTTAAAGATGTATAAGAAAATGGCAAACTCATGCCATAACTGTGTGCCCATGTTCTGGTCTCTGGACAGACTATTTTTTTTTTCTCTAAAAATTTTCAACGTGACTACTAAATCCAGCCTTCGCAATCACACTAAAAGTGTTTGAACAAATGACTAAAAATATTTATTTTGTAACATCACTTTGTGACATGTCTCATATTAGCTCCGTTATTAATTTCATTACGGAATGCCTATGTAGCTCAGGTCTGGGCTCTATGATGCTTTCTTATTGACTACTGTAAAATCATTTATTTTTACTTGGAATTGATAATTTTCGCTATTTTTGCTGAAGGAATGAAAATAGAATCACGTGAATATACCTTTTTTCCTATCCTCGGGGGCGGAGCTACGTCACAGACGTTCCACGTTGCTAAGACGCGCACAACTGTACCATGCATTTCTATGGGCTTTGTGCGCGCTGCTGTGGAACGCTGGTCGAGCCGGTGAAAATTCGAGAAAAAAACACAAACTCAACTTTGAAGTAATCCCGAACAACCAAATTTATATATGTTACACACGTAGGGCTAATCTTGTTACACTGTTCAGGGGAGTCTCAACAACCACCCCAAAGTACTGTTTTCTGCGAGTTTTGGGCCTTTGTTTTCACCGCCGCGGGTTGCCAGGCGGTGAAAATGCCTGGATGTCCGCCCCTGAGGATATTTAACATTCAACTTATCAAAAATCATTAATAATAATTCCATACAAAACACCCAAAATGTCTTTTCAGTGAAAATTAATTCTAGCTAAATTAAAGATTTTACAGTACTCGATATTACCGCAGGACTTTTAAAACTGAATTTTGAAATTGATAATGTACACATTTATCATGCCTTCTCAATGAATAAATATTATAATAGTAAACATGGTTTGGGAAAACATATCAGTTGAGGATGATAAATGTTGTATTGTTCCCATCCTCTGAACATGATAAATAACTCAAAGAGTAGCAGATTTCCACAGGACAATTGCTCACTTCCTACATGTAAGTCTCCTCTCAAAACAGCTGAAGCTCGCAGATATTTTAATACCACTAAATAATGATTGTGCATGTACCTGTTACTATTTCATATTGGTAAACAAATATATTTTAACCATGAACTATATGTAATTGGATTATAAATACATGTATACAAATAAATGAAGTAGAAAAATGTTACACAATTATGAAGGGAAAAGTAGTATGTCCCATGACAAAAAACAGAAACGACTTAAAAAGAAATCTCATTGGAGAAAACCCATAATTTGCATCATTCGACCACCTGGTGGAACAAAGGGGTGTTGAGGGACATGGGTAGGATAATGCTATTTTGAAACAAGACAAGTAATTCACTAATTGTAATAACTTTAGACATATACACCGGCTATGTACATGTTGTAACCTGGATGTAATTTGATTCCTTGTTTGTGCAATATGGAATTAAGGGCCAAGTAATAAAACAGTTTCACTGCCCAAAATATTGAAACACGATCGTTTTTAATGTGTCAGAGTTGACGTTAAAAACAACAACTTGACAATAGCATAGTGGCCTTTTTGTGTACTGGCACTGTCCTTTGTTTACGCCGACATTGTCGACAGCAGTTTCAACTTTCATTCAAAAGTGGCATTCCAACATTCTATGGTCATGTATATTAAATATGGAAATGTCAGAATAAAAAAAAATAGCCCACAGAGGATAACCGAGAACACAAAGGTCAAACGTAAACCCCTGGCAGCTTTAAAAGTTCTTACAACACAGTGTGGCTGTCACATTGTTTAAATAGAGTATTACTGTAGACTATCGCCGTGACTTAGCGATCACATCATGCCTTGTGGCACTGCTTTCGCAAGCAAACATCTTCTGGGAAATCTTACGCCAATTGACAATAAAATACTTACGAGATATTACCCTATCGTTTCGGTATTTGCAGGCGTAATCGAGAATCCATCCCTGGACTTGAAAAATATCAGCCATGATTTTCCTCTCGCCTTCAGCTCGATCTTCGTCGAGCTGCCACTCGATCGGGACAAAATGACGGTATTGAAGTAAATCCACAAAACAAAACGAAACTTCGGTGGCATAAAAGTAACTAGGCTATATTGACGACATCTGTGAAGATCAGCGAACATATAGTAACATAATAAATTGCTTAAAATACTGAGGAATCGTTGGAGATCGGAAGTGACAAACAGTTCAAATGTCCATCTGATGACGCATGCGCAGATTGGGTTGGTACGAAATGCGTCACTTGCACCATCGTTCTGTGGCATAATTTTGATCCCGGGGGGTCACTCTATATGCTGTTACTACCCCATGTGCGTTCCAAATTTAGCGGGAAAGCGGGGTGTTTTTCACCTTCTAAAGCGGG